AGGTTCTCCTGCCCTGAGCCACGTCAGCCCATTCAGTGATGCTTAAACTCCTCCCTCAGGCAGACGTTATAAATCAGTAATATCCGTATTTTACAGAGGAGAAAACTGAGGCAGCAAGTGCTTTGCTGGAGGCCAGATAAGGAATTTGGGAAAGTTAAAATGCCATCATTCTCAGCCTTCTGCTTTCAGGCCTTGTGTATATAGGGATACGTTTTGAAATAGGAACTCTTACTCCTGATCTTATCAAACCGAGGCAGACACCGCATTTATCTCTTTGTATTAATTGCCTGTGTCATAATTTCGTTATGAACAGCTGATGAACCCCCAGCACTCTCTGAGCTGCCGCTGACGTGATACGCAGGTCCGCAGAGTATTTCCATCTCTACCTGGCACTACCCATTCTTCTCCTGCACTGAGACGATGAGTTTATCCACTCCTTAAATTCATCCCTGGACCCACCTTGGGGCAAGAGGTGAGAGAATTTACGTGGTTTCCCGAGATCAATTCCAGCCCCCTGATGTCTGTGTTTCTGTTACGGCGCTGGCATGCCAGCTCTTTGCATCTTTTAATAGGGAATGGAAACCCTGAAAAATTTAAAAACAAGGGAGACCTGATTACGGCCTTTCAGTACCTAAAGGGGGCCTATAGGAAAGATGGGGAAAATCTTTTTAGTAGGGCCAGCAGTGACAAGACAAGGGGTAATGGTTTTAAACTAAACCAGGGTAGGTTTAGACTAGATATAAGGAAGAAATTCTTTACAATGAGGGTGGTGAAACACTGGAACAGGTTGCCCAGAGAGGGGGTGGAGGCCCCATCCCTGGAAACATTCCAGGCCAGGTTGGCCGGGGCTGTGAGCAGCCTGATCTAGTTAGCAGTGTCCCTGCTCCTGCGGGGGGGGTTGGACTAGATGACCTCTAGGGGTCCCTTCCAACCCAAAACATTCTATGATTCTATGATTCTATGAATTACACAGCAATCTCATCCTGCCTGGCATGAACGGCTGCAACACACGGCCATAAAAGAGAACATCTCATATTTTGAGAGGTCCCCTCCTGGGCTAATCCTTGTACTGTTGCGGCTGACAAGGGTGCAGCAATTTTAGTTTTTATGTGGTTAGTGCAGACACACTTGATTTTCTTCCTACGTGAAAGTGGCAGCGGGTCCACCACTGTGCTGACCAGAAGTTTCCCGCTGGAGTTATTGCATTTCATCCTCCTGCAATGGAAAATTGGTTTTCTTCAAAATTAATATTTTCAGAAGAAAAATGTCCACTGCTGGAAAAAATTGATTTTTCCCTCAAAGTGCGGAACAAGCACAGGGCTGATTTCTATTTTAGAAGCGTAATCGCTGCAGAACAGTAAGAAGTAATAGAATTTTACTTTTTTTTCTAAAAATGTAATTTAATTTTTATTTTTTTTAAAATATGTTTCATCCCTTATCCTGCTGTGGACGGAAGGGGGAAGCAGGTGTTCTTCAGCTGGCTGTGTACCCTGGAGCGTAGCTCCCAACCACCTGAGAAATGCACATACAAATGCAAAGCAGGTGGGCAAGACGAAAAACAGGAACAGAATTGCAAATCTACAGCAGGACCGCGTGAAGTGAAGGGATCCTGCAGAATCTCTCCTCGGAGGAGCAGCTCTCCTTGCAGATCTACTCCGGCAGAGATTGTTTGGGGTGAAGGGGATTTTTTTGAGCTCTGGTTTTAATCCATTTCTTATGGATTATCTTGTTTCCTTGCTTACTTACTCCAGCAGTTTGGGAAGGACGTCACGGGAAGATTGCAAGACTGGGAGTGTAATAAAAGTAGGACACGTGAGAAAGCTGATACACGCCTCCTCTTTCAAGACCTGGATGTAAATGAGAAAAGGTTAATAACATTATTGCGTGGCAGATGAATTTGGTATTTTGAGCATCTGGTCCTTTTTGAGCCTTCAGGAAACGCAGAGTCAAGTTGCGTTTCTCAAACCAGCACCCAAATTTAACTCCTTGCCCCCACAGATGCCAACCCACAGGTCTGGTTTCTCTTTGGGTAAGTTGCTTTGCTGAGGCAAAACAAACATACAGGCACCAAGGCCTCTTACAAAGTCCTCATAAATATCAGCTACCTAAATAATCCGTTGGGAATTAGGGCAGCAAATGCTTTGTATTTCTGGCTGTGACTACCCGAGTGTGCGGCAGGAGGGGGAACCTGGCACGCAGGGGAAGAAAATCCAGGAATGAATAGCAGATAACTGCACAGCCTGGGTTCTTTCTCCTACATTTCTAGTGCAAAGAACAGTCATTTAGAGATGGGGGAGGAGGGCAAGGTGGAAGATGAAGTCTGTGTATTACCTGGCTCTTCGATTTCTGTCCTAAGTGATAAGATGGGAGAAACAGAGGAGAATGTGGCAGATTTTAGGGCAGTCACTGACATTTACGTTCATATTCTCAGCGTGACACGCTCATGTTTGGCTCCTGTCTCCTGCAGTTTGCTTGCTGTGGCTTCTCTCCCACGCCGTAACCCTGGCAATTTGTTGACGAGATGGAGTTGCTGCGTAGGGCTCCTGAGCCCAGGAAAGGGATGTGCTTGGAGCCGTGTCCCTGAGGCAGGAGAGCTGATGCGATGGGGACCGGATACCGGAGACACCAGCAATGCTGTTGATGGTTTCATCAGCATGATCAAGCCTGGTAGGCGGCTTTTTCCTGCAGGTTCTGCTGCTGCCTCCATGTGGGCACGGTTATTTTGGAAGGTTTGAAAGATTTTAAGGACTGGGTCTTACGCTAGCTCCTACCCTGAGAGAGGAGAGATCTGGGGTAGACAGCAGAAAAGTGGGAGAGAAGAGTTGCACTTTCCTGGGTGAATCAAGTGGGAATCAAGCGGTTCGGGCTGTAACTTCAGCCTTGCGCTGATTTCTTTTGGTAATCTTTGGCAAATCACTTCACCTTTCTGTGCTTCTGTTTCCGCTGGTTTACCCACTTGTAAATTTGGCAGAGCAGCCATCGACCGGACAACCCAGCAAAACCGGAGAGCTCAAATCGTAATAAAAATACCAAAGAAATGCCAGTCCTTACGGGGAGGTCAGGAGGCCCGGCTCCCCGCTCCGCGTTGTCCCTAATGTCACCAATGAGGTAGTGTCATCAATGAGGTAATATCGTCAATGACACAATGACCAAGGAACTCGCTCTGGTGGCTGGTGGCCACCTGGTGGCTCTGGCAGAGCAGCTCAGTCAGCCCTGGGACCTGGCTGGACTCTGCTGCCGCCTGGACCCAGGGAAAATAGTTCCCCAGTACCCCCTCCCCCATACACACCAGTGCCCCCAGTACGCCCTCCCCCATATGCGCCAGTGCCCCCAGCATCCCTCCCTCC